AACGAAGGCTTCTTTTTAGGTTCTTTAGCAAAGTTTCATCTTGTAGTTTTGCAGCAAACAGGGTTTTCAAACAGTTTTTCAAGGACACAGTCCATCGAGGCTGATGTTATGAAGTGTCCTTCACACTCTCTGAGCTGTCACAGAGGCTCTGATTGCCATTGACCGCCCCGTCTGAAGCGTCTGTTTTTCAGAGGCAGATTGTGTAGAAGTAGTAAACTGTTTGTGGTGTTATTTAGAGGATGCAGCTCTGATTAGCGGCACTATGGCTCGTTCTGTGCCTCCTGATTACTGCTGCTGCAGCTGGGTTTCAAGCTGATTGTTTTTGTATTTTTGTGAAGTCTTGTCATCAGATTTGTCAGCTCCTTTGACATTTCTTGATGCATATGGAGCCATGATGCAGATATACACATGGATACAGCCTGCACGGCCAAACCTGAGGATGGTCTGGTGTTCGAAGGTCATTTTTTTTGACCGTGCAATTAGGACAACTGGAAATCACACCTTTTTAGCAATTTGTTTTCACTGTTGTTGCACTGAGGTTCTACTTTGGGGGCAGAATTTTCAATATAGTCTTTTTAAGGTTTGCTTTTGATTGTTCATAGGACGGGCTGCAAGGTGGCGCAGTTAGTTAGCACTGTTGCCTCGCAGCAAGAAGGTTGCCGGTTCACGTCTGCATGGAGTCTCCATGTTCTCCCTGTGCAGCGTGGGTTCTCTCCGGGTTCTCCGGCTTCCTCCCACAAGTCCAAAAACATGTTGAGGTTAATTGGTGATTCTAAATTGTCTGTAGGTGTGAATGTGAGTGTGCTTGGTTGTCTGTCTCTAAGTGTGGCCCTGTGATAGACTGGTTACCTGTCCAGGTGAACCTGCCTTCGCCCTGAGTCGGCTGGGATAGACTCCAGCCCCCATGACCCTAGTGAGGATTAAGCGGTGTGTAGATAATGGATGGATGGATGTTCATAGGAGAATCTATAGGTTCATAGGAGTAGACTGTTGTGTACTGTATGTGTTTAACCGCTGTGCAATAATTGTTGTGTTTCATTCGTTATTTCTGTGTTGTTTTGTAACTTAGACAGAAATGAGTGTTAAAGCTGCGTATGAATACTGAGAACTAAGATATTCACACCAGGCTCACCTGTCTTACACATCATTATATATGTATTTTCTCCTCCCTAACACATGTTATCTTTGGAAACTAGAATGTAAAATAAAGCACTTCAGGTCAGCAGTGTTCAAACGGCTCCAGGCTGAGCTCGGTTACACGCTTTTAAAGTTTTGCACGTGTAATAATCTCGGTTGGATTAATTTAGAGTCTAAATGGTGTAATTTGCAATCAGATAAAGATGTGAGCAGAGTTTCAGTGCGTGCACAGATTCTGTTTGATCTTTCTTTGGGTTGCATTACAACCCAGCGGCCATTCTGCTGTGTAATGTGTAATTTTAGTTTTGATACTTTAAGTACATTAGCGCTGACAATTCCATCCTCTTCACTTACATTTTTAATGCACGGCTTACGTGTAATGGTGCATTTCTGCTTTGCTCGTTTTTAGTTAAATAAAATATCACAGGGCATTAAGTTTTGAAAAAACAAAAACACACAAAAAGAAAAATTCATATTAATTTCAGCCATCGTGCCCAGTCAAATAATTTGGCTGCATTTTCCTCTTCATACCAAATTCTCTGTGAATTTTGGCCTTAAAATCACTCCCCGCATCCAATAAAACAAAAGGCAGCTCTGCTAAATGTGGATGATCCGACAGTCAGTCGCATTCAAATGCAGGATTTATTGTGCTGCTGCGTATTTTTTTAAAAAAGGGTCATGTTTGAAAAATAATTCCCTTTTAAAAGGAGCAGTTTTTCCTATTAACTGGATTTGCCAGTGGTGTGCAAAAAGCATCGCCTGCAATGATCAAAAAAAAACATCATATTGCGCTCCAGTACATACATTAACCGGCGTACGAGGCAAACTGAATGCAGAGGAGGCCCTCGTAATTCAAGAGAGGAGCAAATAAGAAGACAACGATTTACACCACATGAGATTTCCTCTCGCCTTCCCGCCTTATTCCATTTTATGAGTCCCACATCAGCTGAATTGTCACTGAAGTATCTCACATGGGAAAACTATCAAGATGGCAAAGAGGAGAACAAAAAGTGGAGAGCAGAGAGACGGCGACGCTCCCTATGGAGGTGAAGCCGAATAATTTCATGAGTGAAAAATTAAGTCAATAAAATTACAATAAAATGGCCCAGGAGCACGTCTGTATTCATGTGAGAAGGCGGCTGAGCTGTTGTGCGACAGAATGAAAGGCGGCTAATGGCCTCTCAATTGTCTTCTTGACTCCTTTTTTTTTTTCCTCCTCCACTCTCTGGTCTCTCAGCCTCCCTGGTTCGAGCTGCTCTCCGGGGAGCTGTGGTTTCTGAAAGGTTTCTCGATGTCCTTAATCCCTCCATCTCTTTGTGTCCAGGCAAAAAATATATCCGCATGAAACTCAAGAGGCCGACAGGGGCCAAGTCGTGTGAAAAAAAAAAAAAAAAGATGAGCTCCTTTCCGGCATTTTGTGGGAATTAGGGAAAAAGAAAAAAAAAGATAAAAAATAATTTGGTTTCTTTTTGAAGAACAGCACAAAGCTTTAAATTAGTGGTTCTAAAATTGGAGTCCTTCGGGTTCAGCGAAAAACGGGAATGGTTTGATTTCACACAAATGAAGAGATAGGATGACAGCTTTAATCACAGGTTTCCACTGACAACAATACTCTGCTCCGTAGACAGTTGTTCTCATTTTAAAATCAACAAATAAACCTCAGATCTGTGCAAAGGAGGATTTGCAGTGTTGATATATTAGTACCTGCAAACTGCCCAGAGGTGCCTGATTTTTGGTTCACTGTAGAGTGGTTCAACGAACTATACTGTAAAATATGGACATTAAGAAGACTTTTTAACTGTAATTCAATGATGCACACAATAAGTCGCAAAATCTACCAAAACTGTAAACAATGTCCACAAGTCTGGTTCATCCTTGGGTACAATTTCCAGATGCCTGAAGGTTCCACATTCATCTGTTCAAACAATTATATGCAAGTATAAACACCATGGGAATGTCCAGCCATCATAGGCTCAGGAAGGAGACGGGTTCTGTGTCCCAGAGATGAAGTGTTTTGGTGCCAAATGTGCGAATCAACCCCAGAACAAAAGACCTTGTGAATATGTTGCTGAAGCTGGTCAGAGAGTCATTACCCACAGTAAAACCAGTCCTGTACCGACATGGGCTGAAAGGCTGCTCAGAGAGGAAGAAGACATTTCTCCAAAAGCAACATAAAAACACCGTATTACAGTTTGCAAATGCACGCAGGGACAAAGACTTTCATTTTTGGAGACATGTCCTGTGGTCTGGTGAAAATAAAACTGAACTGTTCGACCATAATGACCATCGTTACATTTGGAGGAAAAAGGGGGAAGCTTGCAAGCCTGAGAACACCATCCCAGCTGTGAAGCACGGTGGTGGTAGCATCATGTTCTGCTGCAGGAGGGACTGGTGCACTTCACTAAATAGATGACATCATGAGGAAAGAACATTATGTGGAAAACTTGAAGCAACATCTCAAGACATCAGTCAGGAAGTGAAAGCTTGGGCAATAACAATAACCCTCAGCATACCACCAAATAAGTCACAAAGAGGCTTCACGACAACAAAGTCAACGTTTTGGAGCGGCCATCACAAAGTCCTGCAGAACATTTGTGGGCAGAGCTGAAAAGGCGTGTGGAGCAAACAAACCTGACTCAGTTCCACCAGTTCTGTCAGGAGCAATGGACCAGAATTCTATCAAACTATTGTGAGAAGCTTGTGGAAGGAAACCCAGAACGTTTGACCCACGTCATACAGTTTAAAGGCAACGCTACCAAATACTAAAGAAAAGTATGTAAACCTATAAGGTTTTGCACTAAAACTGATTTTTTTTTTTTCCAAAGGACTCCCTTATATTTACTTAATTTATTTCAAGGTACTTTGATTTCTTATTGCCTCATTTACATATTTCAGAATTAATTTCATAGTCATAATTACTTATTTCATAATGAATTAGGCGTCATTCCACAGAAATAGTTTAAAGTCATGGAACAGTACTTTGCAAAGGTGTAAATGCGAAGCAAAGTTTAAGTTTAAATAAACAACCTTGCTAAGAGCAACACATAATTGGTTGACACAGTGATTTAACCATAATTGGTAATCTGTTGAAATAATTATTTTAAATGAATTTAACCAATAGGGAAGCTAATTTAAACTATAACAAAGGGTAGATTGTCAAAATCATGAGCTAATATTTACTAAGCAGATGAAATTTTTAGCGAAAAGTAATGAACACATAACAAAATTAGGATACATTTTAAAAGACATTTCAATATGTAGCTATAAATAAATAATGACTGAAGCAAGGAGGGGCTGCAAGGTGGCGCGGTGGTTAGCACTGTTGCCTCACAGCAAAAAGGCCACCAGTTCGCATCCCAGTAATCACACCCGGGATCTTTCTGTGTGGAGTTTGCATGTTCTCCCCGTGCATCATGAGTTCTCTCCGGGTTCTCCAGCTTCCTCCCACAAGGTCTAAAAACATGTTGAGGTTAATTGGTGATTCTAAATTGTCCGTAGGTGTGAATGTGAGTGTGCTTGGTTGTCTGTCTCTAAGTGTAGCCCTGTGATAGACTGGTTACCTGTCCAGGTGAACCTGCCTTCACCCTAAGTTGGCTGGGATAGACTCCAGCCCCCCATGACCCTAGTGAGGATTAAGCGGTGTATAGAAAATGGATGGGTGGATGAAACGAGGAGACAATAATAATGGACAAACAGTTTAAATAACTGGGTAGAAGAACTGGATAAATGCTGCTGTGAGGTTGGAACATACTGGTGCAAACATCCAACGCAAGACAGCATGAAAGAAAAAAAGAAGAGAGTTGGTGGGCAGGTGATGTCAAAAGCGTTAAATAGTTTTACATACAAAGAAGTCACGTCACGTGTTTTGTACATCATCATGTCTTTATTTGAGTGTAAACAAACTCTGAAAAGAGCTTCAGCCAGGTTCTTGATTATTGGCATTATTAACATGATTAATGTCTTTTGCAGTCATGGATAAAACGTGGTCACTCCACTGCAAAAAAGGCTCTTCTTAAACAAGTCGTGTCCTCTTAAATTCTGTCCTATCATCTTGTCTTTCTCGTCTTTAAAAAAACGAATGCGTGGAGCACAACTCCAAACTGGCAGATTATTGTATCGAAAGGAAAGAAACAAAATAAATGCCCTGGAGCAGCGTCGGAGGAGGAGGAGGAAAATGAAATAATCTCACTCCGTAACAGACTTTTTTTTTTTTTCCTTCTGCAATATGTGAGATTGTAAGACTATAAAAGAGCGAATTGTTTAGGTGATCCTGTTTTGCAGTGTGTATAATAAATAACATGACATCCGCGTCAACAGCTCGGTTCAGTCTAGCAGGGTAACTTCATCTCGTCTCACTCGGTGTATGCAGTGTTTGTCACTACTGTATAAGGTGCTGGGTGTGTTTGTGTGTGTGAGATGTCATCGCTTGGGAATGTGATCATGTTTTCGTCGATGTGTGTGTGTGTGTGTGTGTGTTCAAGGTTTTTGTTTGGACACGCGTCCAGAGGCTTATTAGGTTAGTAGTTAATCAAATCATTAAATATGTAACAGGTGAAGAGTTGCAAAAATAACCTTCTTACAAACGACAAATAAAACTTCTGCAGCGATCACAGCAGTAGTGTTAAGCTCGGAGTGCGACTGAATTCGCTCGGTCGCTCCCATTGTACACAAATATATTTACAATCAAACAAAAATCATACAGAAATCATACAAAGAAATGTCACCACATTCAGAACCACAGACAGTTATGGGACTTACACTGAATGTACATGTAGTGTGTGTTACTGACCTATTCTGTAGCTTTTCCTCCTCTACACATTCTCCACCAGCCTCTGTCTTCAGCGACAAGAAAAACACATTTCCACCACTAATGATCCTAAATTGAACCAAAAACACAAACAGAATTGAGCAAAATGGAGCTTTTGTGCAAATTTGTTACTTGAATTGTGACGCATTTGTCAATAAGTATTTTAGCACAAAGAGATGAAAAATTCAGCTCCTCAAGACCGGGCCGGTTTGTAAGTTTGAAAACGTACAAGCGGAAAACAAAAAGAAAAAAAGCAATTCTGAAACACTTCACATACACTCGCAGGCTTTTGTGGAAATAAGGAGGCAGATATCAGTTTTCCAAAAAGCCTGCTGCACCCATTCGTTTCATATTCTGTTGTGTTTTTGGAGAGCCCAACGTAGAAGTATGTCTTAGAATAAATAGCAGGAAGGCTTCTGCCGAGCTCTGCTGTTAATGATACGTTGACTGGAGATATGTGAAAGAACTACGGGGGGGAAATTGTTAAATAAAAAGCTGTGAAGTGTAAGAACAACAGGAGATATAGATGTGGTTCCACTCTTATTGGACCGCAACAAAACACCCAACTTCCTGGACTCAGACGAGGACAACAGCGTGGAGAAACTCTGTCTGCAGGTCTGTCTTTGAACACAGAGGCTGGGATGGATTTTAACAAACCGTTCTTGTTTTTTTTTAAACATCTTGCTTTTGTGGCGTAACAGCGTGAATTCATGTGGCTGTGCATGTCTGCATGTGTGTTGGTGTGTGTGTTTGTTGAATCCTTCTATCGCACCTCCTTTTTTTAAGGCTTTCAAGCTGCTTTGGATCAAAGTCAGTCCCAGGGGATAATTCAGCATAAACACTGCGTTCAGAAACATCATAGCCTACCTTCACAAACCTCTGAATTGAATTTTTCCGACACATTTTAACGTCTACTTGATCTTTTGATTCACGCGAGAAGAAAAAAAAAAAAAAAAAAAAGAGGAGGCTCTCCAGCCGCTCGTCCTCTACTGGCATCGACGTGTTAGCTTCATCCGACTTGTTTTAAAAATGCTGAAACACTAATGTCAAATTAGGATTGGAAAAGGGAGAGTCCGTCCCCCCGCCCCCACCCCAAAAAGAAAACAAAAAGAAAACAAAAACAGGGATGATATTGACATCTAAGACTTAACTTTAAGCCCTAGACGGATGTGCCACAGACTGAAGCCAAAATGTACAAACTGCGCAGGGGGGGAAAGAGAAAGAAGAACAAAAAAGGTGTTAAAAATGTTAAAATGAACCCCACACTGGCCACGAGATTAGAGTAGATAAACAGTACAGTAGGCTATACGCGTCATCATAATTACCGATAGATATATAGCAGTCGCAGCTGCCGCCGTCCAGTTTTAGAAACACATTTGACTAAAAGGGAAGGGACAGAAGGAGAACTTTTTTTTTTCTTCCTGGAGTTGGATTTAAATAAATATTGTGTTTTTTGTGTTGTTTTTTTTGTTGTTTTGTTTTTGTTTTATTTAAAGCCATCTCTCCTCCTGCCTGGCGGGTTGAGAGGAGAGGTGCAGCAGGTGGAGGAGGAGGAAGATGAGGAGGAGGAGGAGGAGGAGGAGGGGGGCCTCTATGTGAAGTTCTGGAGGGGCTGGCTGACCCTCATGCAGGCCCAGTAGAAGGCCCGGGCCAGGGTGACGAGAACCAGGAGCAGCAGCACGGCCCACGAGGCGTAGATCCCCTGGTAGGTCTGAGCCTTCACCCACGTTCCAGCCTGGAGAGACAAAACGGCAGCCCAGAAAGCTTTTGTTTTGTTTTATTTTTAGGATTTCTCAAAAAGCCCTTTAAGGGAACTTGTAGGTGCGTTCTGATTTTAATGAGCCAGCTCCAAGTCCAATCAGGCTGGATGTAAGAAACCAGAGAGCTAACAGCGCAATTATGTTTGAAAATGTTTTCCGCATTTATTATTTGACCCGATTATGTTGCCTTAATCTGCGCAGCGTTCCAGTTAAGTATCCAGTAATTTCCACCGTTAAGCATCCCGTTGATTAACCTTCTGAACTCCAAGCGGCGTCGGGATGTTTGTCACGTCAGTGTGGGCTCATTTTTCACTGAAATATAAAGTCCTGCTCCTCTGTGGAAACAGAACAACCACGACAACATGTTATTACGCCATAAATCCTAAAAATATAGGAAAACTAAAGGTGGATTTCTCTGGATACGTGGTGACCCTACGTACTGTAGATGCTTTACTGCTTATGTTTCAGTATGTTTTCATGCTGTTCTCTGCTCTGTGTAAACACAGTCTGCAGTTTAGCTGAAAACAGATTGAATTTTTGTCACGAGACACTCAGTAGCAGCGAAGTCACAAATGGCTTCCCAGTTGCTCCAAAAATTGCAGATTTTTTTTTGTTTTTAACAGAATCTGATGAGAGGAAAAGGTTTCATTTTGGTGAATTTCTAATTAAGACATGAAGAATAAAATTATTTCAATAAAATATCTTAATTGTAAGCTTAGGTTTGGTTAAGTCTTCGACTAAACAGCATGTCACAGATATTTAAGGTGCACTTGAAAATTAAAAATATGTTTTTTTTCCTGTTTTTACCCAGTAAATGGCGCGATTTTCACATTTTTTTTGTAAACAATAATCTCGCCAGCAGGAATCTGGGGTTCAGACGATTAATCGATTTATACTTTTCTACAAAACCCCAGAAAAACTTCCAGTTCAAGTGTTTTTTATTCATCTATCAGCCTAAATCCCAAATATATTCATATGAGAAGCAGAAACCATCACATTTTTTTGGCATTTCAAGTGACAAATTGACTAATTAGTGCAGCTCTAAATCCCACACAAAGAAAAAACATTAAGTTCAGTTTCTGTATCCAGTCTCGGTGATTAATCCACCTGCACCAGATTGATGCCAGTGACACTGATTTTTTCCTTTTCTGTCTGACAGAGCTCACATTCAACACTTAAGAGTGACTGGGGGATAAGACAGAAAATAGCTTCCTCATCAAGTATTAAGTGTGCAGCTGCTCAGAAGAAAATTATTTAATGAAGATGGCAAAAGTGACTTTGAGAGAACCCACAGGGATTGTCTGAGAATGTGGAAATATGAATATCTGTTTCAAAGTCACAACACCAGAGCAAAGCTAATATGGGCATAAAAAGTCCAAAAAAAAAAAATCGTGAAATTTAATTTAGGGAGCATTTGTTTTATCTTACTGTACTCATTAAAATTAAAACACTCCCATCTAGAACGCACCACCAAGGCCAGCAGCAGACACCCAGATCAGGTTATGTGTATGTTACGAACAGAAATCACTGTAAGGTAATCACACCTGGCTAAAACATATCAATATGCCTGAACTCGAGCTTTCCTTCTCCTTCTACAAATGATCTGTAAAGTTTTAATGATTCAAGCTGCTCTCGGGGGTCATAACAATTTAAGTGGCACCTCTCGGCTCCTGCTGCCGATTTGGGGATACATGACGATTCCAGGACGTTAAAGCCGTTATGCTGATGAATCTTAGCTACTGTTCATTTAAAACCTCTGCTCTCTTATTTATTATTAAGAGCAGTCTGGAAATGCGGTTTGATCTCTTACTTCTGGCTTCTAACAGGTTCTTGATGCAATGCACACCTCTGAAGATTAAACTGTCAATGCTCCGTGCTCTCGCAACCACTCGCATAAATAAAAGCGTCTTTTTAATAAAACATATCGCGAGTCCGTGTTGTGACATTTATTGCCACTACAACAGCATTATGCAATGCTTTCAACACGGCATATTTAATGTGTGCACTTTTGCTTACTGTTCCTGGTGCTGCTCAGCTACAGTACTGTATGCTTCTCTGAACGGTTTCACTGTTTGGTGCTCATCTTGCACCCTCTGCTGTTCACGGAACAGAACATACGGACCACCTCGTTCTTTCTGTGGGCTGATGTCAGACTCTCATCACAACCTATAAAAATCGACAATATAATTCTCATGGTATTCAACATTTACACCGTTTCTAATCCTTTAAATGAAAGCAACAGCTGAAAACAGAGAACACATAAAGCCCTGTGAGCCTCGACAGGCCGCACGCGAATCAGCCTGAGCGGAGAAGAAGACAAAACGGAAGGTCAGAAATGCTCAATGCCGCTATTCTGTGGGTGTTGAAGCTGCTGTTACAGTTAAAGCAGGTTGTGCTATATCTCCCTGATAAATAAAAGCCTGTCACGCAGTGTCTGGAGAGCAGCCGCGAGGTGCAACGCCCTCCATGTAAAACAAGTGACAACAAAAGTGGAGATTGTAATCGCATTCCTTCCTCCAGCCGCCTTCGTTTTATCTGCAATTGTCAGGTTTTCAAATGACAGAATAAAAAAAAAAAAGGAGGACATGAAAAGAAAAGAAAAAAGGTAAATGCCTGCAAGGCGGCTATTTATAATCGATTTTCATACTGAACAAGGAGTCTCTTGTCTTATCTGGATGTCAGTGTGGCGTCCACTCACCATCAGACCGGCGGTGGAAATGCTGAATAGCAAGCAGAGTAGAAAACACCACAAGCTCCGCCTCCGGGGATACCTCTGACCAATGGAGGAGCTGCAGGGGGAAAGAGTGACGCAATTAGCTCTAACAGAAGATTAAATGAACGCAGTGACGACAGCGTTTTACTTTTGCACTTTTTGACTCATCGCAGGGAGAGCTCAGCTGCTCACATTAATAACAGAGTGACAGTGAGCCACGTACAACGTCGTTACCTTGAAACTGGAGCAGCTAAATGGAATTAAGCCGTCATTAATTGCATTATTTACACCTGTGCTTTTCTATTAAATAGCAGGGATGGTTGCTATAAATTAATTTGATATCTCTCAAGCACAAAAGGTCCATCAATTTTAATTTTGGGAATGAATGAATTGTTTTGTTTTTTTTTAAAGCTGAGACCAATGAAAGTTAACTCTCGCTGGGAGCTCAGAGCTGTAATAACACATGAAGGATGAAGTTACACCTGCAGGAATTCAACTGGCCAGATTCGGTCCAGGTTTTGGGGCTATTTTGGATTTGACAAGCTCAGGACTGAAGCTGCTCATGGAGGCTGCACTGGCACACCTGTGCACTGCAGTAACACAACCGATGCACTGGCACATCTGCTCACAAATGTCTGTTGTTTTGCCTGTAAGGTCTGAGCTGATTATTCAGAAACGTGCACTTTAGGTCGTTGAGGCAACACACTGTTTTGTTTTTTAGTTAGCACACATTTTTAACGCTTAATCAAATGTTCTGCATGTGCTCATTAAAACAAGTGTGACAAGAAGTCACAAAAACAGTCACATGAAGCCGTAACATTACAGATTTTTTCTCACTACAAGTTGGCATCTCAAGAATTCATCCTGCGTCACAGCTGGTTATCCTTGCAGACTCGCTTCTACTTTCTTACTGAACTTTGCTGACCGTGTTAAGGAGCTTGTGGAGCCACTGATAAAGGAATGCACATACACCAAACAAACTCCCACAGATTAGAAACCTCGTGACGTTATGAGACACGAAGGCTTTAAGGCACGTGAGGTTAAAGCCACAAGTCGTAATGTAACACGTTTGATTTAGTTTGAAATAGAGAACACTTGCATGAGAGACAGTGAAGCCAAAAACCTTCACTTTCTTTGTTGGGTGTCTCTGAGCAAACGCCAAAAGATATGAAAGCAAAAAAGTACAGTGAGAGTAGAAGAGCGTAGCGGACGATTTGCTTATAGCTACTTACACTTTCCTGCAGTGTGGGCACCTGGCCAGCGTCCGATCTGTGAACTCTGTCCACTGAAATTTACAAAGAGAAAGATGAAAGCTTCAGTTTCAGCCAAAAAAAAAAACCCCGAGCCACACATTCGCCAAGTTATCAGTTACACTGATGACAACACTCCAAGTGCTGCATTCGCTGTGATTCTCTTTGATCTTCATTCTAACATACAGATCAGTGTGTCTGGGTTGCTCTCAATAAAAAAAACACACACACATGGAGATAAAATGTACCAGGCAAACAGATAAATAAGGTGAGTGTGGCTGTGTGGGAAATAGAAAAGCAAATGTGAGCAGGTGTCGGAGTGAAAAGTCCTTCACTGGTTGTTTATAATGCATTAATGGAAGTCAGAATGAATGATGTTTTTTTATGTGTTTGCCCTGGTCAGAAGGTTTTTCTATTAGCGGCCTGATCGGAGGAGTTTGCGTGAGTCATGGAGCGAGTGTAAAGGCCTCAGCGTGGAGTGTTTGTCATGTAACTGATTATGGCACTAAAACAACATATTTATAGATTATCGTCTGTAAAGTCTTACAGAATTGTTCCTTTCTACTTAAAAACAATCAAAATCGTTCAAGATACTGAATTTACAATTATATAAGAAAAACAACCTCACCATTTAGAAGCTAAAACTCATGAATGTTTATGAATGTACAGTCGTGACTCGATGATCCGACCCTTAACAACCCGAAAACCTTGTTATCTGACAGGTTTTTAGGGAAAAAAAATGGAACTCATAAAATGTCATGTTGGAGTCGGAATCCAAGGCTGTCGGTATGTTAAGGCTATTTTTAATATCACACATAAGGATAACAGCGTATTATCTGACTGAACAATCCCACAGTTTGGCTATGTTCACACTGCAGGACTTGATGCTCAATGAGGATTTCTTTGCGAGTTCGTTCACGTTTCCAGTTAAACACGACTTGTATGTGATCTGCTGTGTGAACTTCATACGACCCAAAAGTGTCCCGCATGTGCAGAAGAGGACACGACGACGTCACACGCAGCGAGCGTGCTCAGTGTTTACAGAAGTAAACACGGATGGTAACGGTGGAGCGTATCTGCCACTCCCCCGCCGCCACCGATGGTGGAAACAGAAGTGTGAGCGCTAACTGAACTGGCATCAGCAGCCACAAACTGCCCGTGTGTTCTGGACACTTCCGCCCCAGGGGAGTGCTTCAACGGGTAACCCCCCCTCGACTGCGCCGCATGTTGGGATAGTCATCTTTAATTGGGCCTGAATATCCAGAGACCAGGAAGTGCTATTGGGACCAGCCCTACTAGTTATTATAACAACTATAAACAATAAATATTAACAACTAATGACCCTCTAAGCATCAAGCCCTCCTTGTATCTGGACCTCCGTCTTGACAATCCGACAGCCTTGCTATCCAACATAAAAGGAGGTTTTACATTTAGTGTTGGATTATCAGGTCACGACTGTATATGCTTGATAAATCATCCAAATTATCAATTGATTATTGATCTGTTTCTTTGATAGATGAGAGATGAATCCACAATGAGCCTGCGACTCTTTTTCCTACATATAGTTGCCACCAAAGACTATTTATTTCAGTCACTGGCAAATACAAATCGCCAGCACCGAGAACTGAGAAAATATATTTTTAACCAGTTGTTAATTTAGGTTCCACTTTCTCAAGCACAACAGACATTTTTGTTAATAAAAAAGTGAGAAATAGCCCAAAAAAAATGCATAGATTGCCTGGAGAAAACCCTGATGCCAGGTACAAGTCATGAATTGGAAGATGAATTCCTCTATGAATTACAGAAGCTCTTTTTTCTTTTCTTTTTTCTTCTTTTTTTCAATACGCCTACTGACACCTTGAGGAAATTGAATACAAACATCCAAATTCTTGGCAACAGGTGCTTTGCGCTGCACAAGAAAATGACAGAAAAAAATGGTATTCCTTCACAACACAGACACATATTCTCTCCCCAAAGTTGGGCCGTGATACATTTGTAAACCCAGCAGAGCAGAATCCACTGTGCGTGCCGTACATTCTTCTTGTTGTGAAGGAAAACGGCGTACAGGAGAACGTTATCACCACATCTGCGGGAAAAGATTCACTGCGAGGCCACCTGGGGCGCAGATTTGTATTTTCCTTCAGTCACCTCATCTTAAAGCAGGTGGGAAAAGGTCCAGCCGACTCCTCGACACCCTGTGCCATTCATCTAACCTGATTTTACACCTCTATTCTTCTCCTTTTGCGACTGTACCGACCTCATCTCCTTCACCGTATATTTAAACCATCCTTACCTGTCGCGCTGATTGTTAAAAGAGCAGCAAGAAAAATTTTTACTTCACCCTTAGCACGAAATGACCGCGATATATCAGCGGAGAGTTGATAGGGTTATTGATCTGCACCGATAACTCAACATTTACTCGGCCCAGAGCTTGGATGTTTTGGCTTTTCAATAATTCACTTGCTACAGTACATTTCACAACAAAAAGCTTGCAGGCCTACTGAAACTGTCACACGACACTTGGGCTGCAGATGATAAAAGCGTTACTTGAAAAGCCACAAAAAAAAAAAAAAAAAAGTAAATGCCAAAGCAGTTTTATTATTCAGTTATTCTGCACAGTAATGCGTTCTCTCTTCAAAACATGTTTATTGGATCCTGGCTCTCTATAGCGAATGTGATTTTATTGGTTATGTATTTTTCGGGTTTGTGCCATTCAAAGAGACGGGAGAGGTGAGGACCTGTGCCAGAAACTTAATAAATGCTGGTTGTACTGACGTTGCAATTCTTACTCACTGCCTCAGAGGCTGATAAGTATAATCAATTCATGTTTTCTGAATAAAACCAATACTACTGACACCGCTGCTAATAATTTGAATTCATTATACCGGCTGCTATACATCTTAAAAACTCTTGGCAGGAGTTAGGCAGATTTGTGCACAGACATAAGTACTGAGAAGGTAAACAGAGAATTTAATAGAAAGTCTACTGAGAAGCTTTTGGAGCTTTAGCCGGCTCAGGCGTCGATACCTGACCCGAGGGCAGCGTTACGGTCGCTCAGAACTGCTTGTTTTAGATGTTTTATGTGACCACGATGGAAATCAAAAGTGCTTTTAGTTCCAAACAGTTCAGGAAGACGAGGTGAAAAAACTCGGCCATCGGAGCAAAGGGGGGGAGAAGTGATTTCGTCTAAAATCGGGGATAATGACAGTCTCTCCGAGGAGACACTGATGGGGTCGCTTCGGGTCGTGCGCATTAAAGTGCCGCAAATAGCTGAGTAGCAAATGAGAAAGAGAGCTAATAAGACGAGTACAATGTCTGGGTACAGATGAGGGGCAGACATAGACATGGTGTCGTCAGAAAGTAGAAACCTGAACATCTGATGCACGGTTCAAACACAACAGAAATCCTGTTGAAGAGCAGAACTTTGTCACGTTTGAAACCAGCTTCGTGCACTGAATCAGGGTGCGAGAGCCGGCTCCTCCTCCTGAACAGGGCGTCAGAACTTTTAAGGGCGTCTCTAAAATAATATTCTATTTCTGCGGAGCATTTTCTGGTTTTCTGTATCATCGGCATCATGGATTATGTGTAAAATTAGGTTATTATTGATGTGCGAGGGCGACTGATCACTAATTCACTTTAATAAAAGATACCAGCGTGCATGCTGTTTTCGCCATCCAAGCGTGGCGGCGCAATATCATAAACTCCACTCAGCGTCGCCCTCTCCACGCCTCCGTGGCGCTGATAGATGCACAGCAGCGGCTACTTTTCATCCGTTTCCTTATTCGCGCTCTTATTAACAAGGATAGTGTCGCATAAAAGCTCATTCAAATGTTCTACTAGTGTGGCGTCTGTTGTTTCTGACCAAGAAAAAGGCCAGGGTGTAGTTTTCACACTGGAATGAATGGAGACAATGAGATGTGACTGAAGTTAGAAAGATGGTTTTGTTACATGTTTTAAGGTCAAGGATTAATCTATCGGTGGATTTTTATTCATGGAGTTTTTCCTCCTCTGTCAAGGTTAAACAAGCAGATCTACATTAGCTTCATATCTATACATTGTGGCATTAAAAGAGATGACAAGCCACATTTTTATTGTACAGAGCAATGAATTAGGATGTGATATGATGGCTAATTAGTTTTGTCTTTTCAGTCTTTATTGCTGAGCTAAACTAAGCTTATATTTGACAGGCACAATTGAAAGTGATATCAACCCTCTCATCTACCAAGAAATCAAATCAGCTAAACTGTTCTTCTAACAAAAAAAAAAAAAAAAAGAAAGACAGTGTTGTGTCTCCAAATCCTGCGGGTATTTGCTCAGAAAAGTTTTACTCCAATTAAATGTTCTTTTAAGCAGTGAGAGAGAGTCAGTACCAGGAAGGTGTTGCTGCAGTGTCCACAGGAGACGCGAGCTCCAGCTGGCTGGGGGTCAGGACTGGCAGGACCGGGATGAACTGGACCCAGATTTATTATCCTCTTACTGGAAGGAGACAGACACACAAAGTCAGCAGTCGCGCCACAAGTTTACTCAAGATATTATTCGGTGCAAGAGCAAGATAATAAAGCCCCGATGTTGTGAGCAGTCGTCTCAAAGGCTGACTGCGGCTTTGCTTTATGGAATCCATCAGTCGCCAATCCTCTCATTACGCACGCCGCTTTTGTACAATCAGCTCCTCAGACACCTACAGTAGCTCAGAATCACTGATCAGACAGCGGCACTGAGATGTGTCTGGTTTAGTCAGCATGTCTGGTTTGAATGCAAAACAGTGATGCTGGAGGTAAACTCCTGAGAGTAATTTAATGCAGGAAAAGTGGCCTAAGAGGAATGTGCACCTCCAACGCTTTACCATCACTCATATACTAATAATGTGGACTTTCGCAAAACGTGATCTGAACGTCACAGATTAGAAGCAGCAATCTTAAAGAAAGCTAAAACAGAAATTAATATCGAAAACAAGACTTCCGCAGCACCATAAATTGTTAAGTTGTGTTAATATTTTTCGCCTGTAATTCGCCACCAACCGCAAAATATTCAAACATGCAAACCCTTTCGCCTTGAGCCGAACTTTACGATCGGCATTTTAAGGTGACAGATGCAATTTATGGGTTTCAGATCTTTATGACAAGAGATTTTGTGATGTTCAGGTTAAAATTAAACATATTTACATAGCAGCACGAATTTAAACATTCAAAAAAGAAGGCTAAAAATGTTGCTCTTGCACATTTTATGCCTCGAGCATAAACAAAGAATCTTATCTCTCTTACCAATTACGCTAGGCTGCTGACAGCATGATGTTCAGATGAGCTGCCAGAGCTGTGCATCTGCACTGACTGACATCAGCCTTGTCTTGGGTTTTTTTTCCTACTATAAAAATCACATACTATAAAAAGTGTTTTGTGGATTTTTATTTGCTAAGTTCCCGTCACAGCACAAGTTTTCTTTCTGCAAACTGTATTTTAACTTACAGCAACCCTGTAATATTTATTTAATACCCCCTAAAATTAAATACACACCAAAGCAGTGACATTCACCTGAACTGTTCAGAGGCTTCTGTGTTTATTCTGGCCCGTGATATTATAATATGAATAAATCCACGTGCACTTGGTTGGTAGCTACTCTGCAGGAATTTAGTGAACAACTAAAAGCAGCTTGATGCTGAGTGAAATTTGTAATTATTATTTTTTTGTTTGTTTCTAGCTGCAACGTCCAGATGATCAGGGAACATGATCCCTGAATCAACGAATAAGATACACTAACAGTTACAATACATACAGTATTATAGCGCACCTCTCATAATACTGATGACATGCAGAAGTGAAACGCATGATGTGGCTGTTCTAATGAGGCTGTTATTTCCTCATCCGGCTCGCTGAGCACTGCATGTAAACTGCGCTGGGAGCACAGCCTTAATTACGGGACTGCTGCTCCCATTGCACCTTGTTTCCTCTGCTTCCTCACAGAGATGTGCAGTGTTCTTGCAGTCTCACAGTGGTGTGCGCGCACACACACACACACACACACACACACACGTTTGCAGACAGACACAAATAATCTCTCACCAATATGGTCGGGGACAGGCGATCCTCTGGGAAGTGACTTTGCAGATGAGCAGACAGTTGCAGGGGCAGCGAACGTACTTCTTCCCTGCTGGGGCATTCTTAATGGGCTGCAGAGGGAGACAGAAACACAGGAGGAAGAGATAGGAGGCAGCGGAACAACGGATTAGAATGGGAGCAGATAACAAGCCAATTATTCTTGATGGACGAGAATTAACCAGTACAACATGAGGGAGAGCAAGGTACTCCAGGAGATATTGGAAGTGACTGCACAGGAATCGCAGGTTAGGGTGATTTATTGTCCCCAACAGTTCAAACGACATAATTATACAGCTTATTATGCAGCTACCGTAGTGTTAATAGGAGAGTTATGGTTTGAACTGAAACTTCAGGCATCACACGTTCACTCTGTGCCGTCAGAAACACACTGTAGGCCTGATAGAAGCCTTTTACGAAGCAGCTCACCTATATAGCTCCTAATATCAGTAAAAGATATTAGAAGAATCTGGTTTGAAACTGTCCAAAAGAGTCCTATATCTAAACATTTTGTTGGCATGAGCGTGTATTCAAAAATCCCATGTTGCAGGCCTGTCTCATGCTCATTTATCCAAATACAGTCGTGACTCGATAATCCGACCCTTAACAATCCGAAAACCTTGCTATCCGACAGGTTTTTAAGAAAAATGAACGGAACCCATGAAAAATGGCCTCAACATACCGACAGCCTTGGATCCGACTCCAACATGAGATTTTATGTCACCAATCAGAAGCGCACCGGTCATTAGAAATCCAGCGATGCGTAGTGCTCTAACAAAACACTAGTTATTATAACAACTATGAACAATAAATACTAACAATAAATGAGCCTTCAAGCATCAAGTCCTCCTTTTATCTGGATCTCTGTCTTGACAATCCGACAGCCTTGCTATCCAACATAAAAGGTTTGACATTATCGAGTCACAACTGTATGTTCATTTAAAATACATACTGTATGAGCAGGAGCAGCCAAAATACTACAAGGCCAAAATCCGTTATCAAGGCCACTGTTAGAATTTGTTTGTGAAAAATGTAATCCATGTTACATTTTCACACCACTATACATGCCACATGTCTTTGTCTGGTATGAAGGCAGCATTTTGTGTGTCTTTTCCCCGACAGAAACAAGAGTCCAAACGACATCATTATACAGCTTATTACACAGCACCTTTAACGTTAATAAGAGAGTTATGGTTTGAACTGAAACTTCAGGCATCATACATTCAACCTGTGCGGTCAGAAACACACTGCAGGCCTGACAGATGTCTTCTGTAAAGCAGCAGGCTTATCTGGCCTCAATATCAATAAAGATATCAGACAAAAGTGGCAAGAAACTACCCTACACCGTCCTATATATAAAGATTATTTTACTCTATGGACCTAAATTCAAAAAATGCATAATGTATGAGCACCTGTTGAGGTGGCCAACTTTGCTTCCTCTCACTAGATCCCAAACTACAACGGGGCCAAAGTCAGTCATTAAGGCCACTGTTTGAGTTTGTGTGAGGAAAAACTTTAATGTGTGTTACAGTTTAACACCATGACACAAGTCACATGTCTCTGGTACGAAGATAGCGTCTTGTGTGTCTTTTTCTCAACAAACAAGAGTTCAAATTACAAAAAGACATACTTATACAGCTTGTGTAATGTTATTAAGAGAGCTATGATTTAAAACTGAAGCTTCTAGCATCATACATGCACTCTGCACAGTCAGAAACATGCTGAAGATCTGCTAAAGGCCTTCTGCAAAGCAAAAGGCTTATCTAGCTGTTACTATCAGTAAAAATCTGATCTGAAACTGTCCTAAAGATTCCTATATCTAAAGATTTTTGTTCATTTACAGACCTATATTTAAAGATCACACGAGCCTAAAAACAGCTGGCCTTTTTTTTTAAACTATTTTTTTGCATGATAAAACAAAGCAGCACAAACATCACAACAAACATAAATTGTAAATGTGACATTATAAAAAAAAAACTCAACAAATCTCAACTTAATATGCATTATGAGAAAATGTGAAAATCATCTATTCACAAAAAAACACAAACAAGCAACCATCAGATAAAAAAACAAGCAAAGAAAGTAAAATACAGACAAATAAAGTGTAAATAAATGTAATGAGGATGTATATGGTTTTAAAACCCAAGTATATTGTTGGTGCAGTGTCACGAAATCAGTTATGAAAGCCTCTGAGTGCCTCAAGAGTGGAAATCAGTGTTACATTTAAACACCTATGCACAAGTCACATGCCTCTGTTTGGTATGAAGGTAGCATCCTGACGCTTCTCTCCGCTGCATCATTAAACTCTGACTAACCAGATCACACTGTGTCTCTCTTTTCCATCATCAGTTTCACTCACGATGTGTGTGGGAGTGAAGCTTATATCTACACTGAAGGGGAAGGAGCTGATAACCGGGAGGGAAAACTAATATTAGGAGTGATCATTATACAGTGGATTTTCTAATTTCACTCAGATTTACTTATTAAAAGGTGGAATGAGCGACTTTTGCAAATAAAAGAATGTCTTTTAAAGTCAAGCCCTGCCAAAGCGAATCCGCATAATGCCGATTAAGCCCATCAGTAACCGGGATCTCTCTGGTTTTTTGGTTTTTTTTGCAGGATGCAGGAGTTTTCAAATCTGGTAGCATTGTATTCTACATTGAGCAGCAATGACTGGTGTTCCAGAACTGAACCATCCAGACAGAGACAGAGTAGGCTGCAGCAGCTCGGATAATGCCAGGAAAAAACAGGAAGCATCCAAGAAAGGTTTCTGATGCTCCAGACGAAACAGAAACATGTCGACAGTGTTTGTGTAATTGCTCTCACTGCCAGAAGGGGGAGACAAAGGTTCTGCACTGAAGGTTAAAGTTATTTTCATGTCGGCATGTGTTGGTGGAAACGTTTGAGTTTCTTCTACCTGATGCAAAAGTGCATTAAATTCTCATAAAGTTGACAGGTATTCTTCAAAGACTGATCTATAAGGTCATTTTAAAGGCTGCAGTTTGTGTTGATTCTGTTGTTGTTGTTATACTGACAGGTGTTTCTATTAATCAGCCCCATTCTGTATCACATTTATCAAAAACAGCACACAGCTCCAGGAAACTAACCTTTTCCACAGTATAAATGATGTTCGTTACGAGCAAATAAGTCATGCAACTTTGCATGTGACACCTCAATATATAATCATTTCCTGTGCTGTCTCAGCTGTGTCACTGCTACTAAGAGACTGCCTCATGATTACAGCCCATCGTCTGTGATAAAGACCGGTTTTGCAACACAAATCCGTGGCAGCGAAGCAACAATTAATATTGTTTACTTGCAATTACTTGTGTGCTGATTGCCATCCCACTCCTGCTGTCAAATTAAGGCTTGGCTGGACAAAATTATTATGAGACAATATGAATAATTTAGCAGTCCAATTAACGCTAATAAAGGCTAGTAATAACACTAATAAAGATGCTGAGAACCCCACATGTTTATTTAAAACAAATAACTGTTGTCCCACAGATATTGCAATAAGCAGATTTGGCCTACTGTCCACATTCTTCCACGAATGTTTGGATTTCAGCCAATAATTCATGTATCGTTCAGTTTTCATTAGCATTACAAATGACGCACGCTTTCACACTTGGACTTCAGCGTAAACGCGGCTGTATGCTGTATAAGGCTTCGGCCAGCAGTCCACATCTACACACTCCGGACATCTTTCTGTACGTCTACATATGCTGGTTCCATCTGTAAAGTGCTCTCATTGCCCATTAGTACATCAGGACACATTTCATATTTCTGCTTCCATCTGTGCACTGATTTGCATAGTTAGTGATGCACTCTCGTGGAGACCCATCAACCTGGGAGTCTGGCAGTTGAAATTGCATGCTGTCTCATAATCAGTCAGTACAACTGTCAAACTGTCGCCATCATCAGGATAGTTTTTTTTTTTCTTTTTTTTTCCTGTGGTCAAAGACGCAATTTAAACTTGTTAATTAAAGCTGAAGCTGAGCATCTTTCTGTCGCGTCTTTTCCCACAGCTGGCCAGTCTTTAGGGTCAGTAAATTAGCAACTTCAGTACATCACTGTCAGATGATTTGTGCTACCTGTGTAATTATGAGTATAATTATCACAAGTCCATCTTCTAAATAATGTTAGTCTACGTCAGGTGTTTTTAGTCTTGCTTCTGCGTGCGTTTCACCGCGTTTGGATTATGTCTGTCAGCGCAACCCTCCTCATTTTGACAGTTTTTTAAAAATTATTATAATCTATTGGAATTTCTAAGTGTCAAACAGTAACATCCTATATGCTGAGATTTGTATGCTTGGCCTGTGTGAGGAGAACCTCCACCACCTTTACAAGAAATCTCACTGGGATTGTTTAGTTTGGGGCTGCAAGGTGGCTCTGTGGTTAGCACTGTTGCCTCGCAGCAAGAAGGTCGCCGGTTTGCGTTGGGATATTTCTGCGTGGAGTTTGCATGTTCTCCCCGTGCAGCGTGGGTTCTCTCCGGGTTCTCCGGCTTCCTCCCACACAGTCCAGAAACATGTTGAGGTTAATTGGTGATTGTAAATTGTCTGTAGGTGTGAATGTGAGTGTGCTTGGTTGTCTGTCTCTAAGTGTAGCCCTGTGATAGACTGGTGACCTGTCCAGGGTGTCCCCTGCCTTCGCCCTAAGTCGGCTGGGATAGACTCCAGCCCCCCATGACCCGAGTGAGGATTAAGCGGTGTATAGATAATGGATGGATGGATGGATGGATGGATGGATGGATGGATGGATGAATGGATGGTTCTATTTGCAGCTTTCTACTTATCATGTATCACTATTTAGATGATTAACTAACCTTAACAACAGTGAATACAACCCAACATATTCCACTTTCTCTCTCAGAAACATTAGACCAGTACATAGACAATCACACTGCCGTGCTAATATTGAACATATAAATACATGTTGGGCTCCCGTGGATTTTTCTGAAATGCTGCCTGTGACTTTTCTTTTTTACAGATGATACCTTCTAGTTAGAGATTGGACTGTAGCACCGTGTCAATGTGATTATTCCTGAGGTGTGTCGAGTACAGTGTGTAGAACCAGCTCAAGACTTCTGGAGAACTTATTGTCCCACTATGTTTGGACTCTGTCTATGGGAAGGTTGTACAAAGCAAAGCTCCTCCAAAGTCCACTACTTCCATTACAACTGTTTTAATGATGAATTAAAAAGGTGTTGATGACTGAGAATTATGACAAGCATTTGTTATAAGCACCGTTTGTCTTTCTGACGCACATTTCAACACCATGAACCTCATACAGACGATACGATCACAGAGAGGACGGTCCGTGCGGTTGCAAATTTTAGGTGGACGCTCATAGACTTGTTTGGATGATGACGTTTATGTTGCATGTAACCTTGCAGACAGGCAGAAAGCATGACGTGGCCTTTAGAGACACAACTTCAAGCACAGTGGTCTGGTTACTGAGAACAGTTCAGAGCTTTACAATAAAGCTTTCCTGTAAAAATTAAATAAACATGCTTCATTAAATACAATTTGAATAAAAGCTAAAGGGGCACAAAATACCAGTTAGACCAATAAAATTATACTAAGGCCACAAAACACCAGCCCCTCATCAATCCACTCCAATTCTATATGATGAAAGTGCCCAAAAAAAAGGCGATGGCCAAAGAAATGTTTCAAGTCAGTCGATCCTCAATTTTTCTCTTCATGCAGAGCAAGATGCAAGAAACAGAAAACTCACAGCTGAGCGAGCGGCAGTTAAGTTGCTTAACAGTCTGTCTTCTCAGTCTCTCTCCCTCTCTGCCTAAGTGTTAGCTTACTCTGAAACTTCACCATATTCCTTTACGTCAAACATCTGATGAGGTTCATGGTGTTGAAATGTTTTGATTGCTTTATTCCATGAGGAATTTTGTCAGAACACACCATGCAAAGTGCTAATTTATTGTCTTTTTTAGACACTGCCAGACTGCTGGAGTCAGTGAAGGTGTTTTAGCTTAATTAATTGTGAGTTTTGCATCTTCTGATCAGCCTCTATGGTAAACTTCAACCAAACTTTTAAAAAAATATATGTATCGATAATAACAGGCAAGTCCAAACAACAGTGTACTCATCTGACCAAATCAATCAGGTGAATTCTCAAAGTTATGCATGAACCATATCGCATCAAAAATCAACTTTCTATGTCATACAGTGAGACAAACTAGTTGGTATCTTGCAAATCCTACTTGTTGATCAGAGGAGATATATATATCCTACCCATAATGCAATTTATAGGTGGATGAACACGACACACGCGGGTGTTTGGGGGGAAAATAACGGTTTCATTCCATCCTTTTCACAGGGATTACAGGGACTATTAGTGACCTCTGAGCAAACTCTGGGGATTATCCGGAGTGACGAGGACACTGACTTTGACAAGAGATGCTGCTGAATTTTCATTGCCTTGTTGCACAAAATGTTAAATCACATTTGCCTTAAAAATACTGGGACAGAGGCAGATATTTCAGAGATAAAGTAAACATTTATGTGGTTAGATACCACTAGATTTCTACGAGGAAAAAAAAGTTTTGTATTTCTTGTCAAGCAGCTCTTTAATAAAAGATACTCGTCTGTGTATGTTTGTATATGGGAGTAGCAGCTGATATACAGGGTTTTTCCTGCATCAAGGAACTTTCGGCGAGGTTGTTGCCAGTCCCAAAGGGAAATTATAAGAACTGAGAGTAGCAATAGCAATTAATTTTTTAAACCAGTTGTTAATTGGGGTTTTATTTCCTCAAGCACAATGGACATTTCTGGCTATCCTCGCTTGAGAAATACCAGGAAAATGAATCGGTTTCTTTCAAATACGAGCGTAGTCACCCCACAAAGGCCCATTCTGAACCACAAAAAACCCTGATGGAGTATATAAGCAACATGTTTGTGTGTTACATTTGGATCTACAGGTCCCCCTTGAAACCTACCGTAGCCTCATTGCAAATCGCACACTTGACCACGTGCTGGTGGATCTTGCCCTCCACCGAGATCATGCTCTGACACACCCTGCAGCTGATGAGAGGGGCGCTGCCGCTCTCCGGGGAGGTGAGAGGGGAGTATGGCGGAGGGTCCTCCCCTAGGAGCACCGAGGGCTGACTGGGGCTGGGGAACGGAGGGAAGTCTGCACGAGGGAAGAACACAAAAGTAGTAAGAGCAGTGACAAATGAAGGATTGTCGAGGGAACACGGTCACAAGAGTTGCACAGTGGAGTGGAAACCCTCCCAATTCCCATGACAAGTAGCGTCTTACGATAAACAGGATAATAAGATTTGGTCTCGAGTTCAACTGAAAGGAGATTTGGGAGAAAAACACTCCAGGAATGCTGAGCGGGGTCAGTTTGAACAAATGGGAGTCGAGCTGTGTGTGAGAGCCACAGTTAAATCAGAATATGGGAGAGAGTGGGGTAGTTTAATCTACAAATGTTATGCAACACTACATTGTAGACAAGATACACAATTAAGGAGTCACAACTCATGCCCTTTCCATTACTGTATGTGCTCGATCATTGGTCGCATCTCTGTCTTGCAGCATCCCTCAGCAGCCTCCGTAGTGGCTTCCTTACATGTCAATCAAATCAGGTGTTACTGGGATGCTAGCTAGCTAAGCGGTACAGTTACCTAGCTTGCAAATGCAGTAGGCACCCTACGACTGCTATAACGTGTATTGGAAACCGTAAATAAAATACAGTTTGATAATAATATTAATGAGCTGCAAATTTGAAGCTGTGAGGTTTGTTTGCCGGTGCTAAGCGGGAGCTAGCAACCAAGCTAACATAACGGTTGCTAGGTTAGCCAGCTAGCATAACGCTGATTCCTGTCTGCTTCACGACTTTACAGTAAAACAATTAACAACAAAAAATATGCTCACGAGCAAACATCATGTGAGCTTATTTCATATTATGCACAAGCACCGCCACAACAGGCCGACTCTTTTTTTGCCACTGTCACAGCCCAGCTAGCAGGCTAATCGGAATGCCCTGTCAGTGGATGCTAACGTGAAGCTAGGCTAACAGAGGCAGGGTGGAGGAGAGGGCTCCATGGATACTCACCCGATGGTTTGCTGGGCACGCTGTAGGGCGCCGCGCCGGGAGACACCCCGCCGTTACCGCTGCCCAGGGCACCATCTCCCAGATCCGATAGTAACGGGGACCTCTCGCCGTCCGCCATACCGAGAGAGCGAGGCGTTGGAGGGGGGAGGAGGTGGGAGAGTGGGAGCGAGATTGCAGACCGATACGGTGTTGTATTGTTGTGTCGGAAATGCAGGCGTCACATGATCACACCACCGCTGCTGCTGCGGTAACGATGCCCGGGGGTGTGGCACTGCTCACCGGGGAGGCTCCGCGGAGGCCCCGGAGTATTAGATGCTAATGAAAGTTACATGGAAATTATATTATTTTTCAGTGAAATACTGTAAGATTGTCAGTAACCTTTACGAGA